ACAACACCCTCCCAAACCCTGAACCCCAGACCACAACCCAAACCTCTGTACTCCTAACCCCAGGTAACACTCCCCTCCCAGACCCTGAACCCCCTTCCTATATCCCAGCTCCCTGCCCCAGGTCACAGTCCCCTCCTTCAGCCAAACTCAATCCCAGATCCCACACCCTAATCCCTTACCCCAAGCTCCCTTCTGCATCTAACCTCCACCCCAGAACTCCTGCACCTCCTCCATTAATATAAGAACATAATATAAGAACGGTCGTACTGGGTCAGACCAAAGGTCCTTCTAGCCCAGTATCTTGTCTGCCAACAGTGGCCAGCACCAGGTGCCCCAGAGAGGGTGGACCGAATACAATGATCAAGCGATCTCTCTCCAGCCTCTGACAAACAGAGGCCAAGGACACCATTTTATCCCCTGGCTAATAGCCTTTTATGGGCCTAACCTCCATGAAATTATCTAGCTACTCTTTAAACTCTATTATAGTCCTAGCCTTCACAGCCTCCTCTGGCAAGGAGTTCCACAGGATGACTACACGCTGTGTGAAGAAGAACTTTCTTTTATTAGTTTTAAACCTGCTACCCATTAATTTCATTTGGTGTCCTCTAGTTCTTCTATTTAGGGAACTAATAAATAACTTTTCTTTATCCGCCCTCTCCACCTGCTCCCCATTAATTTCATTTGGTGTCCTCTAGTTCTTCTATTTAGGGAACTAATAAATAACTTTTCTTTATCGGCCCTCTCCACACCACTCATGATTTTATAGACCTCTATCATATCCCCCCTCAGTCTTGACCACTTACTAAATTCTTGGAGTGCCCCCATCAAAAATTATTGCCCACCCCTGCTCTAGAGGCAAGGTATTTTTAAGGTCTCTTGTGAACCCCCCACCTCCTACACTCAAAGTGCCAGAGTAGGGACAGGTTTGACTCCTGTAAAATTAGTATTTTTGAATGTCACTTATATCCTGGTAAAATTTTTAGTATTACAAGCTGATATACATAAGAGCTAAGTAAAGCTTCAAAAGAAATGTACAATAGAATAAAACGAAAACACTGAGATCTTCATACTGT